TAAAAAAATCAAATTAAAAATTTCTTAGCTCATTTCAGGCGATTTTAACTTTTGTTAGCTTCAGGTAAGAATTTCTCTCAATTTTCTTTCCTCTGTTAATTTTGTTTGTGACGCAATGATTCGTTTAAGCCGCCAAGAATCAGTTAGAATCGCCACTCTCCATGAAGAAGTTCATAGCGCTACATCGCCTTGGGATTCCTTATTTTTCAGTTTCAAGGGCGATAAGAGGTGCAGGGAGACTGGGAGGCACTCGAGGCACCATAATTGAATAGCTTCGGGCATTAAAAGCTGGAACGAAGAAAACTGAGAGGTACCTCAAACCTTAGATCATGAAGGCCCTTGAAAGGTCTCCTCACAACAAAACACTGCAGAGATCGATTTGCCATGGAAACACTTGTAATATTAAAAAATGGGAAAATGTCCTATTCACTGATGAGACGTTAACAGCCCAGATGGTCGTGAAAGAGCCTGGAGAACGACGTGGAGGAGGGTCTATCAAATTCTGGCATTTCTTGGAAGGCACGTACCGAGTTGTAACAATCCAAGAACGTTTTGGACGACTTAAGTTATGTAGAGAATGTACCTTGATGTACCTGATTGTAAATGATGTACCTTTAATAATTTTATTAGACTCTGAATGATTGCTGCATGATAATGCTCGTCCACCTAAGGAAACATTGAAAAATACATCACAACTCTCCAAAGTCGCCAGCAAAAAGTCCTGACCTTAACCAAATCTAACTAACACACACACACACACACACACACACACACACACACACACACACACACACACACACACACACACACACACACACACACACCACACACTCTGGTACACTCTTGTAAGAAAATCACGACCTCTAAATAATCTTATAAGAAAGGTTAGTTCACGGAATATTGGAGAAATATTCGACATGGATCTTATTCGAGGAATTGGCAATAAAAAAATGAAAATGTACGTCAAACATGTGGTTTTTGAACCATCAAATCACATTTATATGTTATGCTGGGTATAATGATCGGCACTCGGTATAGATCATTATTCCTTCTTACCTCGAAGTATAGCTCCAACATCATTAGGTGAAAGATGGTGCTGAATTCCAAAAATAAACGAAACACATTAGCTATACAAAATAAAGTTACTCTTTGCTGGGTCCCAGGATATGTAGGTGTAGAGGAAAACTGCAGAGCGAACGCCCTTGCAAGGAAGGGGGCTTCTATACCGATGATAGGTCCTGAGCCCTTCTATGGCATAGGGAATCACACTATAAATGAGTATCTTATACAAAAAGACAAAATGAAAATGAGGAAACAGTGGAGGTCACTCATTGGACACAAACAATTCAAGAACGTTCTAGCAAATTTGAAAAGGAAAGAAACAACAGAATCGATTAAAGGAAGTAATAAAAAATTCGAATCCTAACAGGATTCTTAACAGGACACTGATGACTGAAGGGATATTTAAGAAAGATTGGTATAATCCAACGTGGTTCAGATTCTGAAAAGCAGTAGAGGCGCACCTACTAATAAACTATGGCGCTATATTTGCGTGAAGGTGGGAGTGTTTTGGGATCTACAAGGTGGCCGTAGAAGATATTCAACCATTGAAACCTGGGATACTAATCAAATTTCTTGATAAATTAGGAATCACCAGTGTGCTATAGAGACAGGGGTATGTACGATACCTATCAAAGGACGCAGTATGTCACACCCCGAACATTACATCTTACGTCGAAGTCCATTAACGATCCGTGAATAACTTGTTTTAATAAATTTCCCAATATTCCGCGGTGATCTGGAGTAAAACAAAAGCTCAACTGGTCGTTATAATGGCCTGATGTAACAATTTTTCCCAATAATAAAAATATTCATGTCTCTATATCGGGACAAGTTAGACACTCACACAGTTATCACAGATCATCAGGCTGACAAAGCGTAAACGTTGTTTGTACAGGTCATTGGAGAGGTGGGGGCGGATTCGAGTTAAAAACATATTTATCGAATGGGCGAAGGTAAAAGAGGGTGGTGCACAGTTAATTATCTCCATTCAAAGGCGAGCAATTGAGAGCTGACCCCCTACTACTCGTGTAACCCACTGGATATTACTTATCTAAATGACTTGAACATTACTTATCTAGATTAGTTCGGGTTTGCCCTTTGATTCATGGCCAGAAGAGGGGAAATATGGCCCTATACACAGATACAATGTATCTCTTTCACTCCTGCCGGCCCTTTTCATTAAAGGGAAATACCTATCCGGCTCTGCTTTTCCAATTACACTTCCAGTTCAAAAAATACGTTACTGGCCCCTCCCTCAGTTGGCCATCAATCAGTGAGTTATTTATTTTGTCCTTGTTTTTTCATACCGACCAGGGCCTGACGCTATTACTTAATGTTTTATAAACCTCAAAATAAAATGTTTGATATATCGGTTTTATTGTATTGATTTGAAACGCCAAAGATGGAAAAATAAATCAATTTTATTTATTGTTAGATTTTTTATCAAAATGTCCACCTTATCTCACTATTTTTTGAAAAAAAGTTGTTATAAAAAATTCGAATCATATAGAAAGAAAATCTATAAAATGGTATGATTTCGCCCTCCTCACACCAATAAACTATCGACTTTTCTTTTCAAGGCTCAATTTATAAAGTATCATTTTTTGTTTTGCAATAAAACCATTACACCAAATAAAATTATTATTTATAATAATAAATAAGAAAAGAAAGGCTAGGAAAAGATAGCAACAATCAAGAGACCCTGCAGACAATAACATTCTTAACAATATGACTCAAAAACTTAAACGAAAGCTAAAATAAAACTCACAAGCTTTTGACAAGGTCTGGCACGAAGGACTCATCAATAAACTAAAAGGTATGCTACCAAAGCAGTATGTCGATATTATCAGTTCCTACCTAACTGACAGACTGTTTAGAGTCAAACAAGAAGATCAATATTCAAAATTAAAAACAATAAGTGCAGGAGTGCCACAAGGTAGCATATTAGGTCCACTGCTTTACTTGTTATACACCAGTGATTTTTCGAAAATAGATGGAGTTAAAATTGCTACGTTTGCAGATGACACAGCGGTGATATCACTAGGACCGACTATCACCCATTCAACCAAAATCCTCCAAAATGCATGTAATAAGATAAACGAATGGACAAAAAAAATGGAAAATCAAGCTAAATCAGCTTTGGTTATATATTATATTAGTTCATCTAATCTTTACAAACAAAAAGGTGGACCATGTTCCGTCGCTCACAATCGATGGAACTACTATACCATACAGCAATACGGCTAAATATCTGGGAATGACCTTAGATGCCAAGCTGAGAGGGAAAGAACACGTGAAGAAAAAAAAAGGACAGAAATAGGTTTAAGGTATAGACAATTATACTGGTTGATAGGACGTGGCTCCAACCTTGCTATACGAAATAAAATATTATTATAAAAACAAGTCATAAAGCCTATGTGGACATATGGTATTCAACTATGGGGTTGTACCAAACACAGCAATATCAAAATCATATAAACACTCCAAAATAAAATCTTACGTAACATGGTCAATGCACCTTGGTACATAAGGAATGAGGACTTACATAGGGATCTCAAGATCCCTGAAGTCACGGCGAAATGCAAAGATTTGCCGCCAAACACCAGGCTCGCCTCAGCCAGCACGAGAATGTGGAAGCGACCAAACTCTCACATAACCGAAACACGGTCAGAAGATTAAAAAGAACAAAGCCATATGAACTTGTGTAGTTAAAAATGAATAGTGAATAGTGAAATGTAAATCTTATTGTACCAATGGGTTTATAAGAACGTAAACATTTATTTATTTTATAATATTATTGTAAAATTAATGGTTGGTCTATTGACCATACCATTTAATAATATTATGGGAAAATTAATAAATAAATTTAATTTAAAAAAAATATAATAAATAAGAAATTTTATTTGTATAATGCACCATTTAACTCGACTCTAGTCAGAAGGTATCGTGAAAATTTAATTTCACTGTTGTTTTTTTTCAACATACTCTCTAAATAAAATCCTGGGAGGATCCGAGTGGCACAAGAAATAATTGATGTTTCAACCCCCAATTAAAGGAGATTAGAATAAAAAACTTTTTCAGATCACATGAGACATACCATTATTTGCGATTTCTGCTTTTAATTGCGCCATATCGCTTCACATCGCTCGCAGTGTAAACAGCACTCTGATCCATGTCAAGTCAGTGTTAGCTCCTTTCTTTGCGATGTTTAGCTTCAAACCGACCGACATGCTGTCGTATCGAAGGCAGGGTGAATGGGCCCTAAACAGGTCGGACCCTGATTAATGCAAACTCGATGACATCTCCTTTCGTGTGATTTAAGCTTCTAATCGCCGGACATCGAATTGCATCGCAGGCTGTATAAACAGGTCTGATCAAAGGTAATGACAGCTCCTTTCTTTACGATTTCGGTAAATCTTTTATTTTGTATTTCGCAATATTGATTTTTACATAAATAATTAGTTTTTGGAAATAATTTTATGTTTTTTATATTATCCTTTATTATAATTAATAATGAAATATTGATTGTGTAATTACTTTTGGACGCCATATTTTTGTATTAATTTCAGATCAACCATTTTCTTGTTTCAGAAAGTGAATTTTAAACATTTAATTTTAATTAAAATGAAGTGTTTAAACAACCCCCTCACCTACGACTTGACTCCATTTCTCCTCTAACTTTCGCTCTTTTCTACCTAATGTAAACTGGCTTTGAAAGAGGCGAGCTCCTCTTTTCCGGATATTAAAATTAAAGAAATTAACGAGGTATTTTTACGTTTTCCGACTCTTTTATTCACTTCTGGGTTTCCCTAATTATTTGTCTATGGGAAAACCTTGAAGAAATTAGCACGTTAAGGTAGTACTTTCTTTCCAAACTCTCTCCAATTGCCTAAACGGTTCGAATTGTTTTAAAGGCAAATAGAAAAATAGTTTCTCACCTGAATTCTAGCTTCTGGCAGCCCGATTTTCTCAGCTAATCGCTCACGAGCAAACACATCGGGGTAATGGGTTCTCTCGAATTCTGAAACATTCAATACAATTTTGTAATCAGTGAAAACAATGCAAAATAATTCATCCATTACAAAAGTAACACATAAACGAAACAAACAGGTTGCAATGTCGGGATTTAGGCTTATAAATGTAAGGTCACAAGTGGGAAGAGGGCCACCAAAACAATGAAAACCAAATTGAGTATCTCTAATCCGTTTATAAAATAAATAAATGTCCCAATTAAACATCAACTATTACTACAAATTATGAAACTATAGTACTACTTTCAAACCAACTTGAACGAGCATCGAAACTATGCTGTATGACAGCACAATATTTGTATTATGTCTTAACAAAGTTTTAGAGTTTGAAATAGTCCTTTCACATCAGTTTCTGTAATTTGATGAACTAATCAGCCGCTGCGCATTTTCATTCAATAATGGATGATTCTGGGATCCTGTATAATTGATCGCTGGTTCAGAATGAGGCGCGGCAACGAGAATTCAGATATCAGGCAAATACGGGCCGGCGTCCCACAGGGGAGCATTCTTGGTCCCATCCGTTATACCATTTGTACTGCTCACTTTCCAATACATCCCACCACCATCATCTCCATCTATGCTGGTGACACTGAAATTCTTTCCTCTAACCTCCAATTCCCAAGAACAGCTTGAGCATAGAGACAACTTATTTGAAGTAAGGAGGTTACTTACTACCGTGACTTCTATCCACTCAAGTGATGTCACGATAGCTCAAGTGGTAGAGCAGCGGCGTATTCAGCCGAAGGTCGTGGGTTCGAATCCCGCTCGTGGCACTGATTTTGTTTATCTCAACCAATACCTTACTTAAAGATTAATTAATTGAAAAGAACTTAATTGGTCAATGGGACCACGAAACCTAATCGATATAATAAGGAAAATAATCGATATAATACATTACTTAAAGATTAATTAATTGAAAAAATTTATTTATATTCATTAAGCACATATACAGAAGGGTTCTGTGGGCACCTTGTTTCTGACCTGGTCGTCAGTGTCCAAATTGTAACCCAATCTCGTCCATGGCCCGGGCCCCCCCCCCCCATAGAAAGGCCACAATATTCCACCGCCGGTTTTCGGCAATACGACACCGGCAAATCCGTCCCTCCTGACTCGAGGATCGCTTTAAACCGCCCATTATTGTCGGAGAAAAGAAACATACAAACAGAACTGAGCCTTTGTGGCGCCTTTTTCATCCCTTGAATGGGATCGACGTTGGGAGTCGACTTGCACAATGGGCCGTGCTCTTGTTCTCCAGGAGGCTTATTAAATCCCTTTTTGCCGAATGGGACAAACAGCCTTCGGAATGCCCAAAATGATATTTTTCTACTTAAAATTTGCATTTCTTTTTATTGGGCATTCGGCACATGGGAAAATTAGAGAGCATGTGAATTGTGGCGTCGGAAGGGTGCTCAACGTGTGTACCAGTGAAGATTGCTGGAATCCGAAACGCATCTGACAGACAAAACAACCAAAGTAAGCATAGGTTTAAGCTAGTACAACAACTCAGAAGCGAACGCCAAATCTGTGTTTAACCCAAACGTCTAACATCTTCGCATCTGCTCAACACGGAATGAAACCGCAGAAAAAACTTAAAATCTTCTCTTCGTCCAGGACGTAATTGGATTCCTTAAAATCTTCCACTAATCGACAAACATCTGCCCATATTATATTCCTTCAAATGTTCGTAGTATTTCCTAGAGATCTACTGAACGGGGAAGAAGAAAGTAAGAATGAATGAAATAAGAAGAGTACTTAGTACTTAACTTACTTTACTCAACCAGTGTTTATTATCTACACACTGTACTCCCCCCCAGGATAATTGTACCTTCAATTAAACGTTATAATTCAAATCTTTCATACTCCAATAAAAACTACAAGAAGAACGAATAAAGAGTGAGAGAGAGAGAGAGAGGGGGGAGAGAGAGAGAGAGAGAGAGAGAGAGAGAGAGAGAGAGAGAGAGAGAGAGAGAGAGCGAGTATGGAAAAGTAGTTCCATCACAGAATTCAGTTAAATATTTAGGCATGGCAATAGATAAACAATTAATTTAAAAAACTATATTACCTTACATTGATAATATTGTTGTTTTTATTTTATTCTGGGTTGTTATTAAAATTGATTTTTTATCCATTATATTTAGTGGTCTGATTGACCAAATTAATTCTTTCAATTAATTAATCTTTTTAATACACGGTCGTTGAACGACTCTATTCAACAGGCGTAGACAGCCAAAACCACACTTTCATACAAAGTAGTCCCATGAAAAATTATATTGGAAAGCACGTATCAAAAAAGCAAAGGAAAGAACTTGATTTACAATCCCGATAATTTTATGGGTTGCTGGGAAAGAATTCCCGGCTATCAATACAAAATAAAGTGATGATTTATAATCACATAGAAGCAATAAAATCATAATACAACGGCTCCAAAATGAAGTTCTACGAAATATGGTTGATGCACCCTGGTATGTTAGCAATCGCGACATACACCGAGATTTGAACATCCCGAACATACTGAGATCTCACGATAACTTATAAGCGCTATCTACGTTTTTAAAGCCACCGAGACCAATAACCTACTACATAGTCACCCCATCGTAAGGCGTGTGAAGAGGACAAAGCCATTTGAGTTAGTTCTGTACAAAGTTGCGATGTGAACTTAGCGGATAAACTGTGAAGTGTGGCATTAATGAGTGGACTAAAGTGAATTAAGTATTTTTTACTAAATTAGCCATTGCAAAATTAATAGATTGTCTCGTTTGACCAGTTTTAATAAACAAATGTATTACTAAAAAAAGTTATAACTAAAAACTTTCATATTTAACGGATTTATTCATAAAGAAACTTCAACTGTAGCTGGCGAAATGACATGCGCATAAGGAGGAAAAACGAAGAGTTTTGATCAATTTCCTCATTGGTTCATGCAAAGAAAATCCCAACTTCCTCAAAATACGCGCGTTGTTATAAGACATATCTATCAAAATTCCATGAAAATAAGATAAGAGGATAAACCCTTTCATTCCGAACATGCTCAATTTGTTCAATGCGACTCAAATTATCGCACGTCGAATTCCAAGAATCGCTACAGCGAATTTACACCCCTTTACTGGTTGTTTCCTAACTTTGTCAACTGAATCTCATCTCCTTAGCCTAATAAATTTTACACTCTCATTCAGTCAATATTTAATAAGGGCGAATTTATCGTTCCGTTCTCACAGTAGATAATATTTACAAAAAGTATCTTAATTCAGATGAAAAAAACTGATTCAATAACTAATTATATATTAAAAATAACTGTATACAGAAATAAAAAACACCTTAATTCTATTTTTTTTTATATCACCTATCACACCCTCCTGCCTAGCCCACTGATTTATTAGATTATTTTTTCTTTAACAATGTATTTTTTCTTAATTTTGTATCTATTTGTTGTTGAATGTTCAAATATGATTGCATATCTATTAAATTTGTTTTTAATTTTTCATTAAGAAATATATTTCCATTTGTTAAAAAGGAGAAAAGTCAAGACACTCCAGCGTTTTTCAAGGTTGATTTTTGTCTCAATGAAGTTCGATTTGAGGTTAAATCTTCTCAGGTCATCGATGAGTTCCTGGATAGGTTATAGGGACAGGGCCGATGTTTTACAATAGAATCCCATGGAAAGAAGGGTCTTTGATGTATCCGAAGTTAGAAAATGGCCGACATGTGAGGAAGGGAGTAAATCTCGATGGGTATCCCCTGCGGGCCTCGCCTTCCCAAAGTATTTCACAGATAGGATCTAGATTTGATCCGATTTCGTGAAAGAGTGTGGCTGCGGCACTTCTAGAAGCTTTCCACTGTAGGACTCCCTCTGTCATAATCCTTGCCGCCTTTCCTCCAGATAAGTAGCACCCAGGTAAAGGAGGGATCAACCATTGTTTCCGCTAATGGCATCCTATTCTTCTCTTCATCCCCTCTGTTGGCTTACTTTCTTTAAACCGCAGGGGATTTTCCCTCCTTTTAAGAAAAAAAATATAAAGAACGTTAAGGAATAGTTGGGAACTTTCGCCAATCTCAAAAATCTGTTTAAAAAATATACATATTTCGGCTTCAAAAAAATAATTTACCAGGTATCAAAAAAAGTTCGTGCGGTTTTTCATTTGTTATTTTTTTAGTACCGTTAATCAACCTTTCTATTTGCATACGACACGAAATACCAAGAGGATAATGCGTCAGTTCATGATGAAAAAGTGTCTTAAACAGTTCACGGTAAATTAAAAATTGTTTCTTGGTTAAGATTTCAAAACCCCTATTTCGTGAGGGAGAATTGAACTAGTGAATTTTAGTTCGGTACTAAAGCGGCCGGTCTTGCACTGCCTTCACAGCTGGTTGTGGTTCAAAAATCATGCTTCTTCCAATGTGAAATGGTCTCTGAATGCCCACATCCTATACACCTATTATATAACTACTCACGCTAACAACACGTTTACTCTCAGCACAAGGTAGGTACACTAAATTATCAGGATTATATATATTAAAACAACGCTGTTTCTTCCAAAAATCGGAACAGGGGACCCAGATACTACTTCCATGCTCAAGAACGATTCTCATAACGGGTGGCATTCCTACAAGCTCTCTATACAGTGTCCTGGACTGTTGCACCCTTTAATTAGGTGGGACACATCGAGCAACCTTTCTCTAAATTAATTATTCTCAAATCGTGAGATGCGGTCTGGTGTGATGTAGGTTTCAGAAAAACATTTTCTTTATCGTGCCAACGTTTCGATCTTTATTGGGATCATCTTCAGGGCTCAAAGAGTTTGTCTTCTGTGTAATTGTGCCATTCTTGCGTGTCGTGTGTGGGGCACTCTCAAAAATGAACTCAAACTCTGAGAAAATGATCTCAATAAAGATCGAAACGTTGGCACGATAAAGAAAATGTTTTTCTGAAACCTACATCACAGCAGACCGCATCTCACGATTTCTGAATAATTATCGATTAACGGTCACTAATCACCACACCTTTCTCTAAATGCAAAGCAAACAAGTAGGCGGGCTTTGGCTCAAAAGAAAGTGTCTTTAAGTCAACCCCGCATAGCCTATCCTTAATTGGGAGAAGATATTGCCTTTCTACGTCATATCACCTATCGACAGGGCTCTTGACCTTGATACGCAGGACTCTCTATCGGCCCGCCCCACTATTACGATTTTTTGTGGCCTTTGGCTAAGCATGCCTTTTTCATTCTCTCCAAAGTACAAAATTTTGAGAATTTCAGATTATCATTTACCTATTTCGATTCCGGGAAAATATATCAGTGGAAGTGAGAAAAGTAATGATGGAATCAACAAAATCTTCCCAAAAATTTTATTTGATATTTATTGTCCTAATTTGTTTACGGAATCCAAATTGTGTCATTCCGTGTAGATTATAAAGTTCTCAACTTCTGTAAAGTTTTATGTTAATCACTAAAATCGTTTCGAAGTTACAGATAATTTCTGAAATTATAGAAACAAAATCGGAAACATATAGATGGCGAAAGAAAATAATTACTTCCGAACTACCGAAGATTGGGAAACCAACAAAATTGTCGTCATCCAGAATCAAAATTTCCACTCGCATTTTGCGTTTCAGACCTTTCTGAACAAATTTGGTTCCGTCTGAGCCCAATTTTTATGAAATTTTGAGAGATTGTACGGGTCGGTTTCTAAATTATCCCCCATGAATTTCATCCCATTCGGATCAAAGGTATCGCCTGCGCATGCGCAAACATAAAGTCGCGTACACATCTATATCTCCGAAACCATTTGTCGGATTCTTATCAAAATTTCAGGTATATGCGGGTTGCTTTCTAGATGATCCCAGATTAATTTTATTTGCAATTGATTAACGTATGTGCATGCGCATGCGCATGCACACTAGGTGAGGTAACTATACTGCCCACCCACTTGACAGACGGCTTTTTTAATTTCCGAAAAATTGGTATTCTTCGATTTTTCGGAATGTGTTATTAGGGGTATTCACGATGTTTGTTAGATGTTAACTCGAATAGAGAAATATCCAGCAAGATCGTGAACGCCCCCTTCTTTTCTTACCATATTAAACGTTAATTTTTCCGCAATGCTGCACGTAGCGATTGGTAGAACCAAAAATAAAGCTATAACAGTTCTTGAAGGCCTGTTGTTGTTTGTTTTGGTTTTCTTTTGAGTTAAATTGTAAGATACCAGAAGTTAATAAAAAAGGAAAATTAATCAACTCTTTCATTCAAATTGCTGTCAATGCACTCTAAAAGTACTAACAAATGACACGCTTCAATTCGTGCCGACATACCTAACTTGTATCCTAACGTCTAACAGCCTACAACTTCATAGGATATGGGATGTATCTGAGAGTGAATCTGAATGAGAGTATAAGGACACGTAAGAAATTAACAAAAGAAATGTATTGGTCTTATTTAGTTAATACGTATTTAAGAATAACAATACGTGTACACAAAAAACTGCTGTTAAATTCATGGCTGCCATGTTGGTTACCTACGCCCTAACGGATAGCAACGTGACTACATTTTCGACCTAACACCTAGCCGATTCTTACAAATTTACGTCATCATTCTTCTCGATAAGCAGGACCTAACAGAGTTAACACAAAGATCGTGAATACCCTTAATATGTTTTCATACTAGGTTAAGTATCAACTATTTGGTCATTTCATCTCCTTTTTATTTCTTTTCTCTTCAAAATAGTTTCTCTTAGAATTGTTTCTTAGGAATATTTTTAAAAAACTTTAGGCTTTGGCGATCGATTTTGTATTTTTTCGGCTGTCTTTTGCCTAAGGATTCCTTATTCCATTCCCTCCAAGTTCACTTTGTTGAGAATCCCAGATCAGAATTTACCTAGTTGGATTCCGAGGAAATATTTATGTCATTGGAAGTGAAAAAAATAATGACGAAATCACAAAATCCCTCCCTCAATAATTTTATTTTATATTTTATTTAAGGAGACCTCGTGTAGATTATAAGGTCTAAACCTCTCTAAAGTTTCCTGTTGATCACTAGAATTGTCTTAACGTTAAAGATAGTGAGTCGATCACGATAGCTCCAGCGATACCAGCGATAGAGCAGTGGCGTATTTAGCCGAAGGTCGTGGATTCGAATCCCGCTCCTTACACTAGCGTTTTTATTCCAACCAATACGTTACATAAAGATTAATTAATTGAAAGAAATTGTTTGGTCAATCGAACCACGAAATATAATGGAGTTATAGATAGTTTTTATGATTTTAGAAACAAAATCAGAGGCAGTTAAAAAACTGATTTTTCGAAAAAATGGTATTCGGGGGTTTTCGGACTGTGTTAATGTGTCGTATCTTACTTACACTTCGTTAAGTTAGATAAAATTTCATGCACTTGTATTTTTTAGCTAAGAACCGAAAATTTGATATATGACTTTTTTTCATCAAAGCAAGGCGAAGGTTTTCATTAACTGTCTCACCTTTTTCCAGGCTTTCGATTTGTTCGTTGGTAAAGGAAGTTCGATTCCTTTGGAGTTTCCTTTTCAACCTCAGTCTCAGCTGGGAATCTTCGTCAGCCGACGAGTTTTGATCTGAGTTGACGTCTGAACCAGGCTCTTGGCTCATATCACCTGAAAGAAATTTTTTTAAAAAATATCAATTTGGATTACTCGAATAAATGGAATATTTACAATGAAAAAATTTATATACATGCTTTGAAAAACAACGCCCAGATATTCAAACCATTCTTCAAAAAATCAAGTAAACTCAAACAGGCGTAATGTTCCCGTAATAATCAGAGGTAAACTGGAATTTATTGTAGCGGATATGTAATATTTCAAATTATACGGAAAAAACAAAACTTTTTTATTCCATTTGACTGGATCCTGTTCAGGTTTTGTCTCTGCTTTATTTATTTTTTCTCTCGAACAATTAATAACTTCCTACCCCGGAAAAACACCCTCCCCCTGCGAGCAATTATGTGTTATATTTACTAAAGCAGAATGTAAAGATGTGCATGTATCCAAATGTTAAAAAACGGATGGAGAAATATCCTCTCTAGAGCTGTAAATAGAAGCTGAAAACTGTTGTTTTGTGGTTTATTTAATTAAAAAAATAAGATTTTCTAGTTGTACACCAATGATATTTGAAGATGCTTTCCATTGCAAGGAGAAAGTTTTGCCATTTATTTAATTAAATTCCTATTCTTAGCCTGGAGGATCACTGTTAATGAAGATCATACATATTGGATTATATGAGGAAACAAATGCTAATAATATATAATTGTTTTCTGTGTGTCATTATTGGGTGTCGTGTTGAGAGTTTAAACATGTTCCAATAATGACACATTTACACAGAAAACAAACACTTTGAGTCCTGAAGATGATCTCAATAAAGATCGAAACGTTGGCAAGATAAAGAAAATGTGTTTCTAAAACCTACGTCACACCAGATCGCATTGCATGATCTCCAAATAATAAATAATACAGAATACCACATCACCAACATTGACTTTACCCACAAAAATTAGGTGGATGTCTTCCCCAATAAAAATAGTGTAATACATCCAACGACTTTTTTTTTAAATTAAGTTGTGTTTAAAAAATGGCTATACTAATTCCTACTTGGAATGGCGAAATGTTTAAGGTTTCATTCTGGTGAAAATTATTCAAGTTTTAATAAAAATAACAATACATTCTTTATGTCTTTTTCACCTTTAATTTCACTTTAAATACATTATTTCTTTTACCTTATTAGTCAGTGTACGTATTGATGAACATAACTTTTCGGAGGGGGGTCTGAAATTCCAGGGGTGATGATGGGAATCGAACCGAAGGCCGTCTACAAGATGAGAGTTAGTCGCCCGAGCCATAACCAATTCAGTCACAGAATTGGAATTAATTTTTAATAAAGTACGTACTAAGTTCTTCCGAGCACACATAATTTATCAGAAATTGTTAATTGTACATTCGGTTTTCTGTATTAGTCAATCCTGTGAATAAAAAACATTTTTTCGAGGGTGGATCAGAAAATTCAAAAAACGTTTTTCGAAAAACCTATCAATAACCTTACTGAACATATTGACACTTAATCTGTATCACTTAAAACCACCACTCAAACACATTTGAAACTTAAAAATGGTACAACCTAATTCAATGTCACGAGCGGGATTCGAACCCGCGATCTTCGGCTAGATACGCTGCTGCTCTACCACTTGAGCTATCGTGACCTCGTACGAAAATGGTACAACATTTTTAAGTTTCAAATGTGTTTGAGTGGTGGTTTTAAGTGATACAGATTCGGGTAGAATCGTAGTATTGTTGGAAGATGGAAGAAGTAAAGCGGATGTTGCGAGGGTGCTCAACACTCTCAGAATAACTGCCCGAAGGGCCTTCCAGTGCTACCAAGATACGGGACGTTATTCAAGAAGGCATGGAACAGATCGCCATCGCGTCACTTCTCAGAGAAATGATCGTTTTATTGTTTGGAATGTACTCCGTAATCGACAGAGACCGCTGTTGAGATCATATAATGACTTCAATAAAATAAAAATGTTAATGGCAGTTTACGCACCGCATCGTAAGGCGAAGACTATCAGAAGCTGGATTATACGCGAAAAGTCCTGCCACTGGTCCAGAATTTCCGACAAGGCACAGAACAGCTCGTTTAATTTTAATAGAAGATAAGAAATATATTTACATCTGTATTGTATTTTTTCCAATCAATATGTTTTGTAATTCACCCAGGCCCTGACGATGAAAAAAAATGAAAAAGGTGTTTTAAATATACTTCATTGTTGACCGTTCCTCACTACTTCAACAAAATATTGAACAACCGGTTACTACAAAACAGTCATTTCGCAAAAAAATGATATAATTGGCCTGAGCAAGATGGGACTAAAATCTTGTTTTCTGATGAGTCAAGGTTTGGTTTGAGTCTTTCTGACGGCCAAGAAAGGGTTGGAAGAAGAACAGGAGAGCGATATATCCCTGCAACATTTTCACTCCGGAGAAGCTATAGAGCTGGTGTGTTATGGTTTGGGCAATCATTTCTATGGAAGGTCGCACAAACTTGATCTTCATCGAGAGCTCCCTAATAGATGGGCCTTATATTGAAGATGTGCTATCGGAAGAAGTTGTTCCTTATATGCCACTAATTGGCGACGGTTTTATTTTTATGCATTAAAATGCAAGGCCACACAAAGCTAAATCGTTAGTGACTATTAGAACAGAATTGGAAGGAAATAGTTTGACCGCAAAAATAGATGAACGAGTAGGTAAAGTACGTTATACATTGTTTCTGAAAATTCTTGAAAGAAAATATTGGATTAAACCCAGTCGGAATCCAGGGTCGGGAATATATTTAAAGAGAAGCGCTAAGAGATTTATAATTGGTTAAGTGAATCAGTTGTAGGTCTGTTATTGAATTTGGACCGTGGATGTAACGTTGTTATTAATAAAGGACGGGTGAGTGGTTTCACTAAGCCAGAACATGACGATCCCGCAGCCCAACGAGATTACAGGCAAAGCCGCTTTACACACATTAGCACAACAGCAAACTCTGGGATAAAACTGTTTTCATCTCAGATCAATCTTATATCTCAAAGGTATTACACTCACGGATCTCATCTCTATCTTATTTTTTAAATTTATTTATTTATTTTTTTTTATCCGCCCCTTTCTCTACGCCGGCTTTCTATCATCTCTCCCGGCACCGTGACAGAAAATCAAACGAGTCAATTTTTTTCCACCTGGTTCTTGAATATCGCTGTATAAACATTTCCACGTTGCCTAGATTGATTATTTTCATTGTGCATTCTGTACACTATTTTAAATTATGTTGTAAATACGTTAAATTATCACCTTTGAGTACAGCTTTGGTTAAAAACAATAATAAAGAGTGATTATATATTATCCAATTAAGGGGTAAGCACAAAAGGGATTCTCAATATGATGTCATAAAAAATGTAAAATAAAATAAATTTTTTTAAAGAGTAAATGAAAAATTGTATTAACTATATAAGTAATAAACGTCTATCATACAAGATGACTATTATGCTTTTTCACAGTCATGTGCCATGGCGCCCAGGCATGGGGCTAATGAAAGTACTCTTTATGCCCCCAACCATTTATCCAAATATAGTTGCAAAGCAAGCTGTCAAAACGTAACAGAGCTTAATGATTTATGATACTATAAGTAACGCAGATGACCTGGTATCGATCATAAAATTTGATAAGAACCTGTCAATGCAAAACTTCCTAAACGTTGTAAAACGTTATTGTGAGAAAATTGGTTTAAACCTCTAAGAAAATATCTCTCATATCCTTCATTAAAAAAGAAAGGTTAACCTAAAAGCACCCACTCTAAAAGATGAGGCCATAACCTTCTTAAAAGAACGTAATTACCTAGGTACAACCCTTGACCCTCAGGTAAAGGAGTAATGTAGGAAACCAAGGCACAGCTGCTGGACTGAGATATATAGAAAAACTGCATAACTGTATTGGTTATATACCAAAACGGTCACCCCCCTTGCCACATGTGGTGTCCAAACTCAGTGCATGAGAAGACTCAAAACGAACTGCGAAGTCTATAAAGACTTTTTGTGTCTTAACATAACTTGGTGACTTGCTAATAACACTAAAAAAAACTTCTGAGATACAAAGAAATAAAACCAGATCTAAGGAGAAACTATCAGAAAACTCTGGAAAGAATGAAAATAATTGAGGTGGCTATACCGGTACAAAATGAGAGCAAAACTCAACTCTGGCAAACCTTCCAAGGGGTCATAGACAACGTAGATTTTTGGAAGAACTGGTAAACTGATGAATTCATGTAAAAACCCGTGGACTGGTTCCAGCTATCCACCACCCTGAGATCCATGCAATCCAACTTTCTTAAGAAGAATTGAAATGTGTATGGATTTACACTCTTTTGGACAGACGGGCTTTTAGCTTCAAATTAATCTGGGAGTGCCTAAATTGCTTACTGGCCGTAGGAAAACAGAGAAAGGTTACCTAACGTGGGTTCCGAGACATGAAGGTATAGAAGTAAAAGAACCGGCTGATCAACTAGCCAAATAAGGGAAGCACTCTCACACATGGGACGTGAACCACAACTAAGCACACCACAACGTGTGCTACATACGATGACTTGAGAAAGAAAAGCTCAAGCTATGGATATAAGTACGCATGAGGCAAGGTAAAAATAGGAAGCGAAGGAACTCCTCTCTCTCTTTCTCTTTCTCTCNCTCTCTCTCTCTCTCTCTCTCTCTCTCTCTCTCTCTCTCTCAGGCAAGATTTGATGAAAATTATGGGCCGCTGCCCTCTTAACTATGATCAAAGGAAGATAATCAAGGCTGAGATTGTCAAATGAAACCAGACACATTAGCGCATATTCGTTTTGAGGGTAAGTTATGTAAGACAATTCTCACACCATTCAGGACGATGGGTGCTGTAGAGTTTAAAGACATAGTTAACGAAGTTAAAGTCATTTAAATCATGTTTTCGAGTACAATTTAAGAAATAAGTCATATATGACGAATCATTTTAAAATTTAGGACATAACTTGGATTGTGACTATCAGATATGACTTTTTAAAGTTCTCTTGCTCTTTTTTCAAGGAAAAAACTAGC